ATATATTAATGTGTTTCGGATTGAATGTTGTTACAAAAGGGATTAAGAATGGATCTGTGTCCTTTTTTCTGGTTGTTCTTAAAATATGCTGCGGAATTTTCTTGGATTCTTCTATGGCAGAAAGGATAAGATTTTCTGGATAATGTTGTGCTAGAAGAAATGTTTTTAGTTCTGTCAACCTTTGATTTCTAGTTTCTGTATCTTTCACAATCATACAAATCCTTCTGGCTAAGTTGTAAGGGATATTTCTTTTGGTGTGAGTAGGATGGCACGAAGTGAAGTTTAGATATTGGTGGGTATCCGTGGTTTTATAAAAAATATCCGTTAAAATAAGTGAGTTTTGCTTTCTGACCATGACATCAAGGAAAGGAATAGAGGAATCACTGTGTTCCATTGTGAATTGAAGATTTGGGTTTATTGAATTTAGTAACGTGTAGAGTGTTTGTAAATCCTCTTCTGATTTGTTCCAAAATAGGAAGCAGTCATCTAAAAATTGTTTCCAATAATCCCTTAAATGTTTTCCAATCTCTTGGCCCAATTCATCGGAAACCTTTTGATACAATGTTTCTTCAAAGAATCCCATAACAAGGATGCTGTATGTTGGTGCCATTTTAGTCCCCATGGCGGTTCCTTTGATCTGTTTATAAAAATCTCCATCAAAATGAAATGTGTTGTTTTCCAGTATAAATCTAACTGAGTCTAGGATAAATTCTGAAGAAATGTTTCTTGGAATTAACTCTGGGTACTTTTCAATCCAAAATTTTATGGCTTCTAGTCCAAGATCATGTGGAATATTAGTATATAGACTCTTCACATCAAAGGTAACAAGTAGTGTATCTGGCTCCACGTTTTCGGGAATTTTGTTTAAAAAATCCATGCTATCTCGTATGTAGCTCGGAACTTTTACACACAGATCCTTCAAGAGTATATCTATAAAATTACTCAGTCTATGAGTGGGACACGCAGGACCAGCCACAATCGGTCGAAGTTTCAGATCTGTTGGTTCTTGAGTAGCAATGTATGTTCCGTTCTGTTTCTCTATGGCCGTTTTAATATCACTGCTTTTATGGATTTTAGGTAGTCCATAAAAGTTGCTGGTTTTCATTTCAAAGTTTATTAAATAGTCAAGCTCATCCTTTTTTAATAAATTTTGATGTTTTTTGCATAATTGTTTGAGCTGTCTCATAATTGTTTTGTCAGGATTATCATGCAATTTGATGTAGAAATTATCATCACTCAGTTGTTGAGTATATATTTTTTTTTTAAAGTTTTTTGAGGGACATGTGACCCAGGAAATTATAACAACTGATTTCTTGTGAATGGGTTGACAAATTTTACTCACCGCTTCCAGGGGGTGCTAGCGTTTGTTGGTGGTGATGAAAACGGTCGCAGAGGTGGTTGAATTACCATGGGTGGTAGATAAGGAGCTCCTGATAGGATTCCTTGTGTTGCAACACTTCGGTTGCCCTTTGCCTCTCGCTGGGTTCCCAGATTTTCCCTCCGTTTCCTGGACGCTCTTTAAATCACTTTTGTCCTAACTAGCGTCATTATTTTGACCCTGGGATGCCGAGAGTGCTTGATTTTTTTCATCTTCAAAAAGCGTCTAGTTGCAAACATTTGCTGGTTTGAAAAGGGGTTAATTTCTGGTGCACAGTTATGATTAATTCGCACCTACTTTTGCTCGTAATATATTTAACTATATTCCTATGATTTAATAAATTGTATGCACTTTATTCTGACTATCAAAACATAAAAATCCTATCCCAAATTTATAAATCACTATTTGATATAAAATCAAATTATCATGATTAAAATGATTATGATTACGATGAATACATGTTTGATGCGAAGATTAACTCGCAGTGCCAAAGTGTGATATTTTTATAAAAAGTAATCGGTGTGCAAAACTCAGCAAGCAGTTGGAGCTTGACAACATTTTTTCTCTGTTTAATCATGCATGGTGTGCAGCAAGAAATCTTTTTTTCTTTGCTGTTAAGACATGCGTTTTTTGTTGTTTTCTATATACAGTTGTAATTCTAAAAAATACAAAATTTTGCACATTTTTAACATAGTGACACAATCTTACAAATTCTCCCACTTTATCTTGCAAACATTACCCAGGTAACCTATTTCAAAATAGATCTATCAAAATATTGCTGATTTCTTACATGTAATCTATGCAAAAGTCAAACAATGAGGACAGATGATACAAAACAACTTTTATGAAAATTTTTAATATTTTAATTAATAAAGACGGTTCCAAAGGGTAGAAGTTTGAACATCAAAGAAAGTAAACAATTCCTCGTAAAAGTAATTAATTTTTTCGAAAATTTATTACAACCAAATGGTCCAAAAAAATATACCAATCCAGATCTAGAACCCTTTTTTGTTTGTCCTAAAGCACACAAAGAATTCGAAGTGAAAAGTATGTAATTAAAACATAATAAATTAATTGGTTACTTAATTTATTTCTGTCATTTTAGATTTGTGAGATTAGCAGCATTGATACAGGTAAATATAGATTGAAAAATTATCAAAAAGCACTAGCCTGTGCCTATTGCAGATACCGGATGTTTTGAAACAACACTGATGGAGAAGGTGTGCCTAAAACCAGGACTGTTCAACCTGTCAGGGTGCCCGGATCTGAATTTTACATCCTTATGTGGTACATCATAGTTTAAGTGAATTTTACACATTATTTAAAGAATAATAATTTAATTTTGGTTGTAACGCGTCATTTGATTGGATAAAAAAAATAAATCTTAATTGTATAATCTGTTTTGCTTACGTCACAATGACTTACGTCAAAATCGTATCAATCCGCTTGACGTTACGTTTAAAATATGAACAATTTGAAGGCGTTTTAAAGACAGAAATTTTCTTGTTTTACATTCGTAATGATTTAAATTTAAATTATAAGGAATGAATAAAATAGCAATCCAAATTATACTGCTATAACCTGGGTTGGAACAGTTTACGCTTTTTTATAAACCGCGAAGTGGTTTATAAAGCGTAAACTGCCCCAACTCAAATTATACAGTTTAATTTGGGTTGCTATTTAATTCATTCCATAAATAAAAAGTCATCGCAATAATAATGCAAAAACACTCGGAATATTTGTCTTTGAAAGGCGAAAAATTCTTAAGAACAAGATGGATTTTTTTTTTAGAAAATACATAATGAAATAGAGAAGTAGGTTCCAAAAAATTACACACCAGGTATGTCCTGCTACATTTTTCAAAATTATTTAAGGAATGAAGCTATTTTCAACTTATGTTATCCGATATAGCATAACTTGGGGCAGTTTACGCTTTCTTATAAACCGCGAAGCGGTTTATAAAAAAGCGTAAACTGCCCCAAGTTATGTTATATCGTATAACATAAGTTGAAATTAGCTTCATTACTTATAATTTAATTTCAGTGTAGACAATGAGACAATTTTTTTCCGGAAAAAAGGCTTCAAATATAGCATAATTTAAAAGTAACGTCAAGCGGAGTAATACGTTTTTGACGTAACTCATTGTGACGTAGGCAAGTTATGTTATCCAAAATATTATATGTTCCTCTGAATGATTCAGCCAATGAAATTGCTTGATACAAGTGAAATTAAATTATTATTGAGTAAATATACTCAATAATATAAGAAATTGTGATCGAAACATAAAACAACCCTAAAATGATTACATTTCCCCTATTTCTTAAATGATTGTTACGTAATACTTTTTGTTTGAGGTGTAACTTTTAACAAAGCGATATTTTATGACCCCGTTATCAGAGATTCGGGGGTATATAGTTTTTGCCTTATCCGTCTGCCTCTTTGTCCGCAAAAACGTTAACCTTGCCTATCACTTGAGTGAGTGAGGCTATGGCTTTCATGTTTCACAAGTGCATCCCTAGTGACAAGACTTTTCTTTTGATACAACCAACTTTGATCTCTTGACCTTGACGCATGACCCACTTTTACAAAATATTCCATACTTAAAGCTTGACTTTTACTTTTGCACAGTTGGTGCTTGGATTTTCAAAATTCACATTTGTTTTCATTATGATAAGACCTTTTTAAAAATGGGATTAAATATTTTTTACCTTTTCACCTTGACCTTAGAGTTTGACCCATTAAATAAACAACTTCAACCATGGCCATAACTGGCGACTTCTAGGGACTTCATATTTCACATGTATTCCTTGTGATAAGACCGTCCTTTGGATATAAATTTTGACCTTTACCTTTCGAGTTTGAATTGCAGGTAAAACTTTAACTTCGCCATTAGCTGCCATACGGGAGCATCTTTGTTTCACAAACACATCTTGTTTTTATAATCATTTGCAGGAACGTGTTCTACAAGTTTTTAAAAAAGCCTTTCCAAACGCAAAAAAAGTTTAAAATTTTTTTTCTTTCAAGATGCATATCTTCCCTACAAAATAGACATTGTTTTATTTTTTAATGCTTGCAATTTCCCAGATTAATCGAGGTTTATAAAATTTATACTATACTTTGCCAAGTTGAAACAAATATTGATTTCCTGTCGTTTTAATCAAGAGCAGCGCTGTATACTTTGTCAAAAACTAGGCTTAGTTTATTATAAAAAAAAATCTCTGTGGAAAAATTACATTTTTTAACTATGCTTATATTACAAATGATTTTAAAAAATGCCATGAATTCCCATTTAAATATGCATATAGCTTTTAATCACAACATTTTAATTTAATTGATGACATCCTGTATTTCCTTCTATTGTTTATTTTGACCTACAAAGGAACTCAATGTGGAAGAGGGTGACCAGTTCTTCAGTTAATCAAGCTATATTTTTCTTCCAAATTTTCTCTATCCTGATCAAGATTGCTTGGAAAATTACTTAGTTATCCTAACAAACCCGAATAAGCATTTAACTCTAATGATACTAGTACCGTATAAGTGGAAATTTTAGCGAGAAGCAAATTTAGCGATTTGTCTTTTAAAATTGGTATTCTATTGTTTGCGAAATGAAATTTAAGCGATTTTGAAAACTCCACTAAAGAAGCTATTACAAATAAAGTGCAATAAATTTTAGCGATATTAAAATTTGTAGCGATTTCCTCGCTAATAATGCCAAAATTGAATCTTCGCTTAAAATACAGCTTATACGGTAATTATATGGTAATTAATTTGAAGTACAAGATGACAAGATACCGGTAAATAACGAGTTGCATCACAACGACCTTTTTCAGCATTTACAAGTTCAGCAATGAAATGCTTAATTGAGCTGATTTTTTGTTCATTTTTTTGGCCAATTTGAAAAAATAACACTGTGTTAATATGATACTTTGTATCATGAGAATGACATTTTGTATCATGTGAAATTGTCTAAGTACATGCATTTTGAATAGCACATTTTTCGACAAAAAAGCTATTCAAAAGCTTTGAAAAAAATCAGTAAAGATGCTTAATTATTTAAAGCTTTCCAATTTGGGAACAATGCATTCGGTAATTGTGGCCATGATTTCAGTAGGATAAACACTTGAAAAAGTTCTTTGAGGGAGAAAAAGATTTCTTCTTAAAAAAAGAGAAGTTTTCTACTTTTTATTCCCATGATTTGATAGGTAAAATAATCTATCAATTTCATTGATTGATTATTATTATTTTACGCTGAGTTGTCAATATTTTATCCATATTTCGGTGGTAATTACGGATACAGTTGGTGGTATGTGGTGTTTAAATTAACTTAAAGAAAAATATGTAAAATTTGCTTATTAATATCCCTATCTTATTGCTTCCTTACTTAAGTAGCACTTCATAGGCAAGAGGACAATGACAATGATTTAATCTCTTAAATGTACAAACATACATTGAAGAGAGGAGATAGGAAAAGATACAAACACATAGAAAAAAAATGTAATACATGTATAATAAACAGTACAAAATATCATGCTAAAGTTCAAGTCAATTATTTTCATCTATAATTTGTTTGACAATCAATAAAAATTTACATAATTTTTTCAATGCTGGGCAGTTTGTTGTTGTAAAAGGTTGCTTAAATGTCTCTATATTTGGTCTACATGTGAGAGAGCTTGAGATATATATTTTAACCTAGACTCTTTAATTCTTTTTGTGTGCATTCAAAAACA